AGCGCCCCGCGGGATTTCCCAGGCCCCTAAACCGGGTCTGCTAGGGTTAACCCAGGCAGGGTACGGCTAACCGGCGCCTAAGCTACCAACCAACACTGCTAAAGCTGAACCCTCGGGACATGTCCACTCACGAGGGTGAAGCAGGGGGTACCACCAAACACAAACAACCTTAATATAAAGGGGGAGGGACACCAAGGCAGGCCCTTCTTCCCCGCCAGGCAAAAACAAAAGAAAAACCTCGCAAGAGGACAGCGCACCCAGAGGGAACAGAGCCGACCGTTGTTATAGGTGAAAACTAGCTACGCAGTACCCCGCCCCACACCAGTGCAATAACTACCACTTACCCCAAGGTAAACAAGAGAGAAATCCCCCAAACACTCGGGGTGGTCAATTGCCAAGCAGCGAAAGACCAACAGAGGTAGATCCAAGGTGACTTGTGGAAGGTAACCCCAAGCCCAAAGGGTAGTGCTTACAGGGCGCATAGGGAAGTTAGCCCTAAGCGCATGCAGCCCGAGTACCCTGGAATATGTCTCCCAGCTCGCACACCCCCGAAGAGAAGTACTGAACCCAGGCACAGCACAAAGAGAATCTGGAGTTGGAGTCACGACAACTAAGCCTTATCCCATCACCCGAGGAACTGGAGGTGTGGATCGCCGGCAAGGAGATCTGGGGCTACCCCTTTCCCCTCCTGGGAAGGGGAGAGCTGTGCAGACATGCAGTGTGGCTCGTGTGACATGTTTTTCCTTGGGGGAGTTGTGTCCACTTGTTTCATTATTTTCGTTGGTTTTCACCAAAATAGGGGTTTGTTTTGAGGCACTTACCTTTCTGGGTGCCTGTCCCGGTCGATGGCAGATATAGAATGCTCCAAAATCACATGTGCATTTCTATAAACCATTGCTCCTCGTGGTTTTCTGAGGGGGCCAAGTTCTGGCCGTGGTCACCAGTAGGCCTAGAACTTCACCCACGTCGACTGATGCCAAAAGTTAGGATTATCCCTATCAGCTTGAATAGCTCCGGGGTGCTGTAGGGGCTCCCCCCAGAAAACATTGAAATCTTCTAAGCCTGAGGAGTTAGAGGATGTTGTTTACAATGAGTTATGCAGCATAGTAGCCTGGGGTAAATAGTCTGTAGCCAAGAGGCCTGCATTAAGCAGGGACATTGAGGACATCGAAGCCAGTTTAGGGTAACTGCAGAAGTTTAACAGATGTCATGCCGGAGTGGAAGCCGGTCGGCCGAGCGGACAGCACACTGGACTTGTGATCCTGTGGTCCTGGGTTCGATCCCAGGCGCCGGCGAGAAACCATGAGCAGGGTTTCTTTCACCTTATGCCCCTGTTACCTAGCAGTAAAATAGGTACCTGGGTGTTAGTCAGCTGTCACGGGCTGCTTCCTGGGGGTGGAGGCCTGGTCGAGGACCGGGCCGCGGGGACACTAAAGCCCTGAAATGGTTATCTTGAGATGATTTCAGGACTTTTTTTTTTAGTGTCCCCGCGGCCCGGTCCTCGACCAGGCCTGCACCCCCAGGAAGCAGCCTGTGACAGCTGACTAGCACCCAGGTACCTATTTTACTGCTAGGTAACAGGGGCATAGGGTGAAAGAAACTCTGCCCATTGTTTCTCGCCGGTGCCTGGGATCGAACCCAGGACCACAGGATCACAAGTCCAGCGTGCTGTCCGCTCGGCCGACCAGCTCCCTTTAGACTAGAACACGGTTCGGCTAGAACCGTATTTTCACGCATCTCTCTTATCAAAGTAATTGTATAATTACTATTTATATCTACAGGGGTACGTCTGTTTAAGACTTTAATCCGTTCATTAAGATGGTTCGTAACCCGAAAATTCGTAAACTGAAGCGAATTTCTCCATAAGAAATAATGGGAAATGAACTAATCCGTTCCCGACTCCCCAAAAACTTCAAGGTAAATTTTATACCCAATTCACCCAAATCTTCACTACAAAAGTATGTTTAAGTTATTACTTACCCTTGCTGATGACTCCTGTTGGCATATGGAAGATGGTGAGGAGGGGGGAGGAGGAGAGGTGTTACTGTTTGGAAGGGGAGTCCCCTTCCATTATAACATCAGGCAGTGAAGACTTCTCTGGAGTGCACTCTCTGGCATGATTTGCCTACATACCACTAGGTCCTGGTTGTGGCTCACTGCATGATTTTCTCACAACAAAATGATCCATTGAAGATTGTTTTTTCCCTTCTTTGCAACACTTGTCTGTAGTGAGGCATCACATTGTCATTGAAAAGACTAATGCAATGGCCTACTATAGCTTTTTCTGGATGAGTCTTTTCAATAAAAGTTTGCATTTCTTCCAACATCTTACACCACTTCCTAATTGTTGCTGAAGGGACATTCTCTACTGCCTCATTCTCCTCAGAAGAAATATTGTCAGCTGCCTCTTGTTGCTGCTCATTTTGAAGGGCTTGGAGTTCTTCGGTGGTCAGTTCTTCGCTGTGTTCTTCCACCAACTCCTCCACATCAGCACCATCCAATTTCAAGTCAATTTTCCGACCCAGAGTAACAATTTCCTCAATAATAGACACTTCATTTACAGGCTCAAACCCCTCAAAGTCTAGTTTTCAAAAACATTCAGGCTACAATTTTCTCCAGCATTGTGACTCAAAAGATCAGGGTTCTTTGAGTCACTTCTTGCCAGGCTTTGTCAACGAGCTTTAAAGCATTACAAATGTTAAAATGGTTTTTCCAGAACTCTTTGAGGGTGAGTTTTGTGGCATCAGTCACTTCAAGACACTTCTGGAGAAGTGCCTTTTCATAAAGTTTCTTAAAATTTGTTATGATTTTCTGGTCCATATGCTGAATTAGAGGAGTGGTGTTAGGCGAAAGGAACTTTATTGTGACAAAATTAAATTTGTTCAGCAATTCATCAGGAGCATTGTCAAGGAGAAGCAGGGCCTTCAGTGGCAAACTTTTCTCCTGCAGATATTTTTGTATGGCAGGGCACACCACATCATTCACCCACTCTGTAAAAAAAATCCTAGTCACCCATGCCTTATTATTAACCCTCCACATCACACACATTTGGTTTTTCTGTATACCATACTTTTTGAAAACCCTTGGATTTTCAGAATTATACACAAGCAAGGGTTTAATTTTCAAATTGCCACTCGCATTTCCACACAGCACAAGTGTAAACCTATCTTTCATAGGCTTGTGTTCGGGCAATGATTTTTCCTCCTTGGTAATGTATGTCCTCTTAGGCAATCTTTTCCAGAACAGTCCTGTTTCATCACAAACACTTGTTGCGGTTGGTATCCCTCAGCCTCTACAAAATCTTTAAATTCTTCAATAAATCTTTCAGCGGCTGGTTTGTCTGAGCTGGCAGCCTCCCCATGCCTTGTAACACTATGAATACCACTTCTTTTTTTAAATTTTTCACACATCCCCTGCTTGCCTTAAAGTCTTTCGTATCTGCACTTATTCCTGGGATTTTCTTTACAAGGTCTTCGTGCAATACCCTGGCTTTCTCACAAATGATGGCCTCTGAAACGCTATCACCTGCTAACTCCTTGTTGTGTATCCAAATTAAAAATAACTTTTCCACATCTTCAATTATGTGTGTTCTTTACCATTTTAGCACTCAAAATGTCTTCTTTCTTGGCAAGTGCAGTGCATATTGTTGACATGGATTTGTTGTACTGCCTAGCTAATTCAACAATGCGAGTACCATTTTAATGCTTACGAATGATCTCTTTTTTTTTTTATTTTCCTCTCTGGTCATTCTCACATGTGATTTCTTGCCTTGAACCTTATCTTCCCGAGGCATTCTTGGGACCCATGACAAGATATATAATAATTTTTATGGTCAAATAGCCAAAAATCTGAAAAGAAACTAAATCCTTGCAAAGAATTCAGGCGGGACAATCACTAGGTGCAAGGCCCCCTGGTAAACTGAGGCGCGATCGCCATGCCACCACGCGCTAGGTCGGCCGTACGCGTGTCAACAAACTCGTATCCCAAGGTAAAGTTCGTATCTCGATTCAAATTTTCCGAACAAATCGGGCTCGTAACCAGAAAAGTTCGTATACAGGGGCGTTCATAAACCGAGGTACCACTGTATGTACAAAATCATTATTGTTATATAATTTGTTTGTTTAAATATGGATAAACATGTATCATTTGTTACAAGAAATAGCAGACCAATTCTGTAATAAATGGCCAAAAGAGGAATTTTTTCAGAAATCTGGATTTCACCGAAATCCATATGGAGACCACAGTGAAACAATCCATATTTTAGATGTACCAGTAAACTGTAAATAAATAAAGACAGAACTTGATATATATAACATAATAATGATACACAAGTAAAACATGCGTGAGGTCTTGACCAAACCACACACTAGAAGATGAAGAGACGACGACGTTTCAGTCCGTTCTGGACCATAAACAAATCGATTGTGCTAATGGTCCAGGATGGACCGAAACGTCGTCGTCTCCATCTTCTAGTGTGTGGTTTGGTCAACATTTCTTCAGCCACGTTATTGTGACTTATTGTCTGCATGCATGAGGTCTCTCACCAGGATACAAGCAACATCATAACGATACACAAGTAAAACATGCGTGAGGTCTCTCACCAGGATACAAGCAACATCATAATGATACACAAGTAAAACATGCGTGAGGTCTCTCACCAGGATACAAGCAACATCATAACGATACACAAGTAAAACATGTGTGAGGTCTCTCACCAGGATACAAGCAACATCATAATGATACACAAGTAAAACATGCGTGAGGTCTCTCACCAGGATACAAGCAACATCATAACGATACACAAGTAAAACATGCGTGAGGTCTCTCACCAGGATACAAGCAACATCATAACAATACACAAGTAAAACATGCGTGAGGTCTCTCACCAGGATACAAGCAACATCATAATGATACACAAGTAAAACATGCGTGAGGTCTCTCACCAGGATACAAGCAACATCATAACGATACACAAGTAAAACATGCGTGAGGTCTCTCACCAGGATACATCTTGCCAACTTGCTCAATGAACTTGGCATCGAAGCCGGCGATCACTGCACCGCCAACAGGCACCATGAAGTTCTTGTCTGTGCTCTGCACAAATGCATCAACTCGGCCCACTCTGATGGGAAAATAACATCAGTTCACAGGAAATAGATTTTAAAGTAATAACAATTGGAATGCATTGTTATGATCTTTAAGGTTCATATACAACAAAGGAAAGGAACTGTACAACCTATTACAATCTAAACTACGGTATGTAATACATTGGAGAATGTGAGCTCTCTTCACTACAATTTAATAACACTAATTTAATTAATTAAAGTTTAATAACACTATGAAATAATATATTTGTGTCACAGTTATAGATAAGGAGTCAACAGCCTTCAAGAAACTTTCATGACATCTTCCCTAAGTTGTCTAAGGCAAAGGTCAAAGCAAAGTTGAAGGGAAATATTAACCATTTTCTATACTTTTTAAGTAATAGCAAATTATAAAATAACACTCACTAACCATAGACAAGAATTGTGTTCCCATGCACATGTGCTAGTGATTAGACCATGACATCATAAAAGGATTGCAACCTGGAGTTCTACCGAGCTCACAAGGGTTTCCCGAGGCTTCCACTAAAGCCGAACCAGGCTTTTCACACAATCCCCTCATGCACTCTGGCTTTGTCATCTAGGCATATTCTACCTCTGATGCTCCTCTTTCAATAACCCTTGTGAGCTCAGTAGAACTCAATCCGTTCACCACGTCGTGGTCTAGTCGCTAGCACATGTCCGTAGGAACCCCCACCTCATAGGTTCAAACCCTCATCATGGCTCCTACAGATTTCCTCATTGAGGCAGTCACGTTAGTGTGCTTATTCTGTGTATTATTATTATAATCCAAGTTTTAATTCAATTAAAGTGGTACCTCCACTTACGAATTTAATCCGTTCCCAGAGACGGGATCATAACTCCAAAATTTGTAACTGAAAACAAATTTCCCATAAGAAATAATGTAAATTGAATTAATCTGTTCCACACCACCAAAAATATTAACTTGAAAATACATTTTATACCAAGTACCACTCTTTTTGTACTAGCTACAATACAGTATGTATATCATATACTGTATACACTCATACACAAACATTGAGAACTCTTGAAGGTATATGGAAGACAGTGAGGAGGGGGAAAGGGGAGGAGGAGGAGAGGTGTTACTGTTTGGAAGGGGAGTCCCCTTCTATTATAACATCAGGCAGTGATGACTTCTCTGGGGTACTCTCTCCTATGTTTTGCCTGCATACCATTAGGACCTGGTTGTGGTTCACTGTGTTATGGTGCCCTCTCCTATATCTTCCCTTATCCAGCAAGAAGAGTCATATCTATACACCCTGCAGATTCCCCAAGTTGCAGGGATCCGTTTGACATAGGTGAAAGCTAGCAAGAGTACTTATTTGGGTATAAAATTATTATTTTATTTTGGGCTTGTAAGGGGGTTTACACCCCTAGTGCATACAAAATGACGATGGCCTCGTCAAAAATGCGCCAAAAACGTGAAGACGCCAGCAGGCTGGCGATTGGCTGGCTGTGGTCACGTGATGAGTGACTAATTAGAGCCTGCCCTTGGGGGGCTGTTGTAATAAGAACATAAGAACAAAGGCAACTGCAGAGGGCCTATTGGCCCATACGAGGCAACTCCTATCTATAACCACCCAATCCCACTCATATACTTGTCCAACCCATGCTTGAAACAATCGAGGGACCCCACCTCCACCATGTTACACGGTAATTGGTTCCACAAATCAACGACCCTGTTACCGAACCAGTATTTACCCAAGTCTTTCCTAAATCTATATTTATCCAATTTATACCCATTGTTTCGTGTTCTGTCTTGTGTTGATACTTTTAATACCCTATTAATATCCTCTTTGTTGTGTCCATTTATCCACTTGTAAACCTCTATCATGTCACCCCTAACTCTTCGCCTTTGCAGTGAATGCAATTTAAGCTTTGTTAAACACTTTTCTGGATTTTCAACTTGGAATTACGGGCGTTTTGCTTAACCGCTTGTCGGATCACGACGTAAATTTACGGACCGTGTTTTATATTGGGTATTTACTACTCGATCGACTTGGGGTTTGTATGAATATGTTTGCCATTAAATTTTCGTTTTCTCTAATAGGCACAGTGCCTATTTGAGAAAACGGCAATGTATTGTAACTTAGAGGAGAGACTATTGAGTTGGTGACACAACGAGGGTACGCCCACTCCACACACTCTTGTGTTGGCCGCGATCATGATTCTACATTTATATGCATATGTCTGTGTAGAGAATTTTATTCCGAACACTATACAAACAAAAAAAACGGTGTGAATCAAGTATAAACTTGAAAAAACATGAGCAAAGTAAAAACTTTTTACTCTCACGGGTACAAACACGCGTAAGATTTTATTCGCCGCAAATTTATTTGACGCTCTGTTGGCCAATTCTACCCATGTTCTTATAGAACTTTCTATTGCGAACACATTGCTATAAAAATGAAATATGTAGCTCGAGAAATAATGTCAGAACAGTGAAATAAGTATAAACTTTCAAAGCGCTGCATCACAACAGTGTCGTCGCTGCTGAAATCACGGCTAATGCTTCGCCCAGTTCCCACACTCGTGCGGAACATAATTAGACATTGATAGGCATATGTCTGGGTGGGGAATTTTATTGCGAGTTCAGTGATATCAAAATAAGCGCTGTAGGATGACTGTGAGGCTGGCAACAAACGAAAGAGTATGAACATTTACTTCCTGTTTGGGTGTCACGGCGAGTCATCTTCGTGTTTATTTACTTCGTGGTGGGATAGCAAATGCTTGGGTGACATTTTATGCATATGATCTTGTAGAGAATTTTATTGCCAACGCATTGATACCAAAATGAAAAACGTAGCTCGAGAATTGATGTTAGGAGCGTGAAAAGATTATAAACTTTTTTGTGTTTACGCTTGAGCGCCCAGAACGCCGCGGGCACAACCCGCTTTTTTTTTCAGCGAGTGCCGCGCGCACTAAAGTGTTAATCTTTCTTCATATGAAAGATTTCTAATTTGAGGAATTAACTTAGTCATCCTACGCTGGACACGTTCAAGTGAATTTATATCCATTCTATAGTACGGCGACCAAAACTGAACTGCATAATCTAAATGGGGCCTAACCAGAGCAAGATATAGCTGAAGAACCACACCAGGTGTCTTGTTACTAACGCTTCGATTAATAAATCCCAGTGTCCTATTTGCCTTATTACGAACATTCATGCATTGATCGTTTAGTTTTAAATTCTTACTAATCATAACTCCCAGATCCCTTTTGCAATCTGACTTCGCAATCTCAACACCATCTAGCTCGTATCTTGTAACTCTATCATCATTACCTAGCCTCAGAACTTTACATTTATCAGCATTAAACTGCATCTGCCAATCCTTTGACCATTTCAAAACCCTATTTAGATCAACTTGAAGAGATAGTGAGTCTTCTTCCGTATTAATTTCCCTACCGATTTTTGTATCATCGGCAAATTTGCAAATGTTGCTACTCAAACCTGACTCTAAATCATGTATATATATTATAAACAACAGAGGTCCCAGGCCAGAGCCTTGAGGAACTCCACTTACAACATTTTCCCACACTGACTTGACTCCATTTATACTAACTCTGTTTCCTTCGGTATAGGCATGCCCTAATCCAGCTTAATATAGCACTCCCAATACCATGAGCCTCTGTCTTTTTAATCAGTCTTTCATGTGGCACTGTATCAAAAGCTTTGCTAAAGTCTGGTGCTCAGTTCATGGCTCTCCCTCTCCCCTTTTCCCCTCTCCCTTTTCTCCCCTCCCCTTTCCCCCCTCTCCCCTTGCCGTCATTCGTCTCTCCCCTCCCATTTGTCACGGTCCACCTTCACTGGTCATATCCCCGAGTCAAGAGGTTCGCTCTTGGCCCTCTCCGTTTCTCTCTCTACCCCCCCACTCAATTCCCTCTCTACCCCCACTCGTTCCCCTCTCCTCCTGCTTTCACCACTAACCATTTGACAGTTTTAAGAACAGTGACGAATTACCGTAATTCTCAAGTTTCGAATGAGGGAGCTGGGAGCCATATACGGCTGTGGTTTCCTGTATAGCGTGGGATCGGTTCATGAGTCTACGGGAGTAAAACATAACGTTCAGGACAGGCCTTGTCACCAAGAGGCGGGGCTAAGTCAGAGGTTTTGGCTGGCATAAGAGTGACACTCTGTAGTCATTGGTTGAGCTTTGATAGGCGGAGTTAATTGGGCCTAGGAACTAAGTGGGTGGAGCCTGTTCCACTGGTAGGAGTTTTAGAAAATATTAGAGTCAGTGTGTCTTGAGGCTTAGTGGGGTACAGGTCTCCTTGACCTGTGGGAGGCAAGCCATCAACAGCTGGGCCGGTTGCAGTAGTATGGTATAGTGCACTTGAGTTTCATGTATATTTCAGTATTGCCTTCATTTGCCTCTTAGGATGTGTTAGGACCTTTCAAATTTGATTTTAATTTACGTGCTTAATTTAATAAAGTGAATATATTTGTCCCAGTGGTATTCAGTTAATTCCCCTTTTTAATCTATTTTTTCTACTTTGTCATTTTTATGTGTGGTTGATGTGTTGGCTTGGTAAGTTCCTGTGTTCTCCTCCATCTTATGAATATTAAAGTCGCTCTGGAATCCCCCTTCAGTTCAGTAAAGATTACAGTATTAATCCTCAAGATTTATTTACTTGCCCCTTTGAGTTCCATGATTATCGAGTCCCTTCCTTCCTGGGGAAACAATAATTTAGACACATTCATTTATGGTTGGGAAGGTGGTGGAAGTGGTTAATGATTTTAATTAGTAGTTATAAATTAATAACCCCTATTCTTGTTGTGTCCTCCTCATTTAATATTCAGCTTATATTTCGTGGCAAGTCAGTGAGGGGTCATACTGAACTGTAACAGTGTTAAGCTGGGGTATTGAATGAAGGGTAGAGAGCGAGAGAGAGAGAGAAGGAAGAAAAGGGTTATTACAATGGTAGTTTTCAGCACCATTACATTGTGATGTCACCGGGAGGCCTGGCTCAGAGCTTGCAGAGTGCTCAGATTCACGGT